GAATTTATAATTTAGATGTCCCATATTCTTTGAAGGTAAAATGTGAGCACCCATAACCCAATTAAGAGACATCAATTTTAACTACTAGACCTCATTTTCCATTACTAATATATGGAATACCAAAGAATACCTTAAAATATCTAATTTCTCTATATTAGTTAGTTGAAATTGGTGTCGCCGAACATGTGCGTTGTCGAAAGGATTCTTTTGTTGAATTTTCGTGCTCCTCTTCGTTATAGTGACCTTCTTATGGTTCACGTTCGACTAGGGTTTGCACGGAGGAATGACTTTAGGTGATAAGGTACCATGTGTACTCTGGATAAGGAGACGTAAGGTCTTCCCTAGTTGAGAACTAAACTCACCCCACCATTTAAAGTATCTTATATTTGCTAATCCACATAACATAAATAAAAAAGGGGATGAGGGTGTGTTTTTCTTGAAGTAAGGACAATTTCTTTTCAAAAAAAAGGTTACTCATATAAAAGAAAATAACACTGCAGATTAATAACTGAAAAAAAAACAGCTACATCTTAAGAGAAACACCTATCTGTCAAACCATCCCAGTACGTGACTCAGTTTTGTTGTGAATCAAGTGAATTATCCTGAGCTAAAATCACTCTACGTGGGGCCTAACAAGAATTCCAAAAGAAATTGAAGTAACACAGCTTTTACTCTCCAAAGTCGGCATCTTTTGTAGGGTAATCTGGCAAAGAGAAAATGTTTTTTCTTTGGGTATTAGAAGTTTACAACTACGCCTCTAACTTTATTTGAATAACCTAGTCCTTATAACATTTAAAATCACTTTAGGGTACTAATAATACCAGTCCTTAATTTTCAGGACTGAAAGTAAAATAAGGAAAAATTAAAGGGCCACATTTAGCATCACTAACTTTCTGACTCTCTCAATCTTAATTGGAAAACAACACAAGAGCATAATTCACAACAGGCCTCACCTAATCTTTTTAGGCAACTCCGTTTTTGAAGCTCTATGATTTTTTAGATAACAAAAACTCAATCAACAAAATAGAGGATTTCGATTTAAAATCTATTTTGGGTTAGGAAAGGGTCAGTGGACCAGTGAAAGTGCAGCGGTTTTACCCATTTCACAAAGAGATACTACTATTATAAGACTACTTCTCATCAATTATAATACATAGTTATAATTATATCGGGCCGATTTTGAGGGTTGTGTGGGTCATATTTCTGGTATGCGTAGTCATTAGATCTCCTCTCTCTCATCTTGGCAAATTAAATCTCATATATAAAATAGCGAAGAGGAATGACTTTAGTCTAGCAAAAGGCCCGGAAGTATTCTGTTAACAGTTCGTAACAGGAATTTTTGTATAATATATTTATTTTCTCTATTAATGGATCACATCACAAAAGTAACAAAAATGTAAATTAAGAACAAAATGCTCAAAAGAAAACCCATACTTATTTCCGAGAAGAACCAATAATCAAGAAAAAAGCTATATATAATATATGCTTTTTGGGGTTGTTTCTTTCGGTAGATATCCTAGATTCTCTTCTCATCTGCAAATTAAAATTCATAAAATACAAAGAATTAGTCAGCAAAGCCCAATATTTCTGTTAACAATTGTCACAGAATTTGTAAATATATATTTCTCATTAAGGATCCAATCAACAAAAGTAACAAAAATGTAAAAACAAAATCTCAAAAGAAAACCCAAAAATTTGCAAGAACCCAATTCAAGAAAAGCAACAGATTTGAAGAAACTGAAAGAAAAAAAAAACTAAAGGAAATCACTTTGATTAACCATCTCCTGATATAGTTTGCTCTTCCAAGGTTTTGTTTCAAAGTTATATCAGAATTCTCTAACATAGAATTTTGGTGACAATTAGTTGAATTTTTTCAATTAAAAGAAGAAAACACATGATTAACGTCTTGATAATGTTATTAGATGGATTCAACATAAATAATAACACATTTATAAAAAAAGAAGATTAATAAACAATACAATATAAGCATAGAGTTTTACCTTGGTATTGATTAACAATGGCCATGGGGGAAAAGAAAACTCAAATAAAAAAAATAAGATTGATACAGATAAATATTTGGCAAACAAAGAGGAGGAGAATATGAAAGAGTTTCATTGCCTCTTCTTCTTTCATTGCATAGATGGATAATTGTTGATTTTAGTGTTTGTGAGAAGGAGAGTTGGTAATTTGCTACAGTTCAATCGCTTTATTCCAATCCTGCTTGACACATGCTTTGACTTATATCTAGACTAGTCGTTAATCCGCGCTTTGCACGCGGGTATTTATATGTTGTTTAAGTAATAATTATTATTGAATGATATTAATGTTATTTTATAATGTTTTTTATTTTCACTTTATATTAAAATCAAGAATAAAAGTGATTAGAATAAATTATTTGATTTATTTTAATTCAAAAATAATTTCATTTTATTTTTAATGAGTGTGTATTGTTAAACCTAAATACAAATTAAAATTAAACATAAGCATACAAACACTTTCATTAAATAAGAAATATAAATATTTTTATTAATTATTTTTAGTTATTTACTATCTATCATTTACACTAAATTGTCTTTTCTTAATTTTCCTTTATATTTCAGGTATTAATTATTAAAAATTATTTTTAAAAAATAGAAAAATAATTTTTTTTTATAAAAATTTGTATTTAATGATGTACAATGTAAATTTTAATGTTTAATAATATATAATTCATATGATTAATTTCAAAAGTGTTATTATTATTGAAAAAAAAAAGAGAGAAGACCAAACAAAAGAATTGTTATATACATATGAATTCCTTAAAGGATTTCTGATTAATAATAATTAAAGGTATATATAGTTGTTCTCTTCATATTTAATGACAATAACATAAAATGGGCAATAAGTATATATGGACTAAAAAATAGTAAATTAGAACTTATTTTACAATGTTGTTTCGCAATTTAAAATCTAAAAAAATAATAATACTTCTATAAAAATAAAGAAAAAAAATATAAAAATAAAGTCGTATGAGTTATTATGAAGGATGTAAAAATAAAAATAAAATATTAAAAGTGTAGTGTTATATAGAAACTATAAATTGTATTTAATTTAAAAATTCAATTATTGTAGCTAGATTTTAGGTAGGGAGTATAATTTAAACAATAGGGTCGATAATTACATATAGATAAAGTTCAACAATTTAAATAGTTTAATATGGATATTTTATAGTAAACTATTTATTAAAATACTTAACTTCAAAAATTTCTAAAAAAAATAAAAGATAAAAAAACAAAGTATAGTATATAATAAAATACCACTATTAATACTTTATATATATAGAGTTCACAATTAAATAATGCACTACGAATAATTTATAATAAAATATTAATTAAAATACTTAAACTATCCAATCACAATATGAAAAATTAAAGAAAAACTTTAAAAATTTATAAAAAAATAAAAAAAAACATCTATCAAAATAAACAAAAGAAAAAAAAAAAAAAAACAAAGTTAAAATATAATTAAAATACTTTAAACTATCCATCAAATACAAACTCAATTATGAAAATTAAAGAAAAAACTTTAAAAATCTCTCTAAAAAATAAAAATAAAACATCATATTCAAAATAAACAATATAATAAAAAACAAAAAAAAAAACGAAAAAGTAGCGTTGTACGTGTGAAATTAGAAGATTGTAAGTTACTCTGCGTTAGCGTTTAGCCATTACAAACAATGAGAATATAAAGATAAAATATTTAAATTGTCTTAGATCCAACAAGGGGAATATTTTTGAAATTTAAACAAATTCAAACTTAACTTATTAAGTAGATCTAGATAGAGGATACAAGTGAGCTTATTAAACAAGCCCTGTTATCTATACTATATTTTAGAGATGAGATATTAGTAGAGACAAAAACGAGTTTAACTTATATTAATTTATTACTTTACAATATGGATGCATTCACATTAAAATACTTAATTTGATAATATTTAGAGATTGCTAATCTTTTAATATAGAGTAAATAAAAAGGGTTAAAATTTTATAAACTCTCAAAAACATAAGAAGAGAGGTAGTGAATTGTCCTGAAAAAAAAAAAAAAAAAAAAAAAACAAAGTAGTGTACGTGAATTAGAGATTGTAAGTTACTTCGTTAGCTGTACCATTACAAACAATAATATAAAAATAAAATAATTAAATTGTCTATCAAAAGAATTATTTTTAAATTTAAAAATTCAACTAATTATAGCTAGATTTTAGATAGAGTGTACACGTATAACTTAAACAACTGAATATACTATATTTTAGAGTAGATAATTATATACAAACGAAGTTAATAATTTAAATAATTCAATATGGATGATTCACATTAAATACTAATTGAAATATTTAAGTTGTCCAATCATAATATAGAAAAAATAAAATAAAATTTTAAAATTAAAAAAAAAGAAAAATATAATGCTGATAAAGGGTATTGAACTTTTTCTTTGTTTCAATTTTATATAGATATATAGATGGTTTAGATTAAATTATTTTGTGTGAGTTGCTCTTGAAATTGGATCAAAAGGTAAAGTATGAGCTTTTTGCTCTCTGTATATAAGTTTAGGGGTCAAATTGGTCTTTATTTTAATAAAATAATCAACTAATTAATACTCCCTTCGTTCCATTTTGTTTGCTTATTATTTTTTTTTGGATGTTCCAAAATATTTGCAAGATTTATAAATTTATATATGTAAATAATTATTTTTCTCATGATAACCTTTATAATTCTTCGTTTAATGAAGAGTTTTTATTCATATCTTAATGAGTTAAGGATAAAAAATGATAAAATAATTTTTATTTATTAGATTCTTAATATGCGTATTTTACAAATAAAATAATGTAAATAAAATGGAAACAGAAAGAATATAATTTTAACTTGATTATTACTATCCTTATTATAGGATATTCAAATTTTATGAAGATGAGGTTGTCGTATATATGTAGTTATTATATATAAGTATATAAATGGAGTATAGTAGATTTGCTCACCCCTCCGACCAAACATCTTCTTTGTTTTGTAAATTGAGCGCTTCTGGTAATTATCGTGGGGGCGCTCTCAGCCCATAATTGCTCTTTCTAATTAAAGATTTACAGAAAAGAAATCGAAGCATGTTGGTTTTGGTTTCTATCATTTTTGCTTTTCAGGTGGAGGAGCAAAGCCCTAATTGAAATTAGCTGATCGTGATAGTGACAGTTCCTTCTGATTCGAATCATCAATTTACAGGTATTTCATTTCATGTTTTTGCTTTCCGTTTGTTGTTTTTTTGATTTTGTAGCCATTATCATTCCTGAATCTGAAAATAGCAAGGTTTTATATGCGCTAAATTGAAAGCGTGAGGTCATTTCTGTTAAAATTCGAAATCTATGAACTCAAGTCGCCGATTTGTCTGAAACCCTAATTTTGACTCTTTTCCTGCCTCACGGAACGGAATCATTTCCCTCTTTTCACAAACTACTGTGCATGTCTAGTTCTGAAACTTGTAACTGTATTCTTTTTATGGGTAGAGATAAATCAAAAGTTGGCATCACTAAAGTGTCCAGTTGGAAGTCAAAGAAATTATAATTATTTTTATTTTTATTTGCATTATATCTGGTGCTGGTTACAGTTATCTAATCAGTTATGTTGTTTTGTAGAGTTGAAAGGCAGTTCATTTCTCGTTAATTTGATGAACTTGGGGCACTATGGCAACATATCCAGGAAAAGGAGCCCCTTCAAATGGGTCTATCTATGTTTGCAACTTGCCTCAAGGGACTGATGAGAATATGTTGGCTGAGTATTTCGGCACTATCGGGGTGCTAAAGGTACGTAGTCTCATCATATTCTTCTCATAATGACAAACTTTGCTCTTATGTTTACCTTTTATTGTATTTATTTCGATATGCAGAATGTTGATTGTACTCTGTCTTGTTTTTGCTTTTATATTTTACGCTTAATAGAAAGACAAGAGATCGGGTCGACCTAAGATATGGTTGTATCGGGACAAAATAACAAATGAGCCGAAGGGGGATGCTACAGTTACATATGAGGATCCACATGCTGCTCTAGCTGCTGTTGAATGGTTCAACAACAAGGATTTTCATGGTAGTATAATTGGAGTTTTTATGGCAGAGTCCAAAAGCAAAGATGATAACACTTATAACTCTGGGGTTGATCCAAATGTTGCTGGCGATTTTGGTGGGTTGGAGGAAAGCACTATGAATGGTGGCGATGGTGGAAAAGGTAGAGGGAGGGGTGATGCTTCAGGAAAAGCATGGCAACAGGAGGGAGACTGGTTGTGTCCAAATACAAGGTCTGTGATGTGATATTGGTGAGCAGCTCTTTCTTGCTCTTTTGTAGAATTGGTTCATTTTTTGCTTGTTAATTTTTATTATCATCTTTATGTAAATAGTTTCTCATGCTTGACTGTTGTAGCAGTTGTTCAAATGTAAATTTTGCATTTCGTGGGGTTTGCAATCGTTGCGGAAGTGCTAGACCTTCTGGTGTCTCTGGTGGAAGCGCAGGGGCTGGTGGTCGTGGGAGGGGTCGTGGTAGCCAAAACACCGCGGGTCATGGTCGATCAGCTACTGGTTCTACTGGACTTTTTGGTCCTAATGACTGGCCTTGTCCTATGTGAGACCTTCAAACCCTGGTTTTCATTTTTTTGTTCACTTTATTGTACTCTTTGATGACTCACTATTATTGACTCAATATTTAATTGTTGTAGTATTTTGTCTATTCCTGTCGTCTTTGTGGTCGGCTTCATTATCAATTTGATTGTCTCATTTACTTTTGCAAAAATTAGCAAGGGTTAGATAATGGGTCCTGTGAACTTCATAATTTAATTATGCATATAGTAAATCAGTACAAGGAATAATATTACAGTTTGAATGAATATGAAAACTTCTAACAGAAAAACATATCCATCTTTGATGACTAAAAAAGGTGTTTAAATCTTGTCGAATCCTAGTGAAAACTCAATTTTGGTGAGGACCATTTTCCACCACGTGTAATTCTGATGAATGGATGCTAAGAAAGGCCTCTGAGGAATTCAATGAGTTACCGAAGAAAACTGTAACCCTGAGGAGGAGGTACAGTTACAGATAATTTCTGGTCTGATTGCACTTCGGAACTTCTAAAAGGAATCTTCTGGCAAAATCTGGTGTTTTGAATGAGCACTTAGTCTCTGTTGAGGCCCTATGGAATTTTTGATGAGATTCTGGAGAATGTCTCGCATTCTCACTCAGTCCTTACGACGTGAAAAATTTATTGCTAGCTTGAAAAGTCTTGAAAAGAAGTATTATGTTATGTGATACGGGATTTTCTCGCACTGTACATATTATATTATTCAATTTTAGCGTACTGAAGGATGTGTAATTGATGCTATTATGATGTAGTAAACCTTACATGCATTACAATGGAAGCTGTTGGAATCTAAGCAAGCTTGAGGCAGTTTCTTTTCCTTGTGCATATTTTTGATATTTGACAGCCTATGTTGCCTTTATCTGAATAGCTGATTGACAACTTGCGGTTTATATTTCCCATCGAACTTCATGAATTGCATAGTAAAATGTTAACTGTTTTTTTGTGTCTCCCTTTTTCCATTACTTATGTTTTTTCATTCTATTTTTCAGGTGTGGCAATATCAATTGGGCAAAACGTACAAAGTGCAATATTTGCAACACCAATAAACCTGGTCATAATGAGGGTGGTGTAAGGTATACCTGATAATTGCTTTATTTTATCTATTTGAATGATCCTATCAGTAAATTTTAGCAAATTCTGTGCATAAATTAAGATGAACTTATGTTGCATAAGTAGTGCAAAGGAGTACCTAGATGAAATAACTAGAAAAGGAATTCAAAAAAAAAAAAAAAAAAAAAAAGTGCCAATACTTTGCAACATCTCAATAAACTGGTCATATGAGTAGAGGGTGGATGTAAGGTTTCTTTCTTGTATACCATAGATTAAATTGCTTATAATTTATCCCATTTGATATGATGGCCCTATCAGTAAAATTTTTCCAGGCAACATATAATGTGACATAAAATTAAGATGAAACTTATAGTTGCATAACGTTAGTGTGCGTCATAAGGAGTACCATGACACAACTAACTAGAAAAGGATACCACAACAAAAAAAATATAAAAAAGAATAAACTCAGTACAGGAGCAGAGAAATATTAGCTTTGCTTAATGCCTAGTTGTGCCTGCCTGTAAATTATATTGCGTCCTCAATGGAATTTAATCGCCTTCCACATTTAAAAGAGTTTTGATGTGTCTCTATGTGGAATCTCCCTGCACCTTTCGTTGATGGTGCATTTAATAATTATTTGATTCATTTATTAGCATTGTTTAGCTATTCTGTTATACCTTTTAGGCCTGATAAAAAAAAAAAAAAAAAAAAAAAAACTCATACAGAGCAAATATAGCCTTGGCATGCCTAGGTGCGTGCCTTTCTGTTAAGGCATGCGCTCAATGTTAATCGCCCACCTTTAAGGGTTTGAGGTGCAAGTGGAATCCCTTGCACCTTTCGTGATGTGCATTTAATAATTATGATCATTTTATTAAGTTTAGTTTTTGTATTACCTTTTAGCATGTCTATGACTTCTATGCTTGTTTTGTTGAAGCAAAATGTAAGCATGCTGACCAAATCAATTAGAAAGAGGAACATTAAGTTGTTTAGTTTGTTTAGGTTCAAGTCATAATTTGAACTTTTTTTTGTCAAAAGGTTTAGCTACAATCTTGATTTTCTAAAGTTGCTATTTTTATTATGTGTTTGACATTGTTTCAGTTTGTGTTTTCTGTTTCACTGTTTATACAAACACACGTGCGCACACAAAAAGAAAAAAAAAAAAGAGAAAGCAAGAAAGCAACACAATCATTAAAACCAGTGTATCACAATTATTTTCAACAACTGTGGAACATCATCATAAATTGCCACAGATCAGAAATGCGTATCATCAGCTGTCAACAAAATCAGAAACAACAAAGGTGGGAATTAAATTTTAATTGATCTCTTTGTTTCAAAAGAAGCACATGAAGAATTTTTAGTTGTATTCTAGTGTAGATTTGTGAGAAAGTTGGAATGAGTAACAGACTGCCAACCAACAGTTTAGATGATGGGCGAGAGAAATAGAGAAAAAGAGGATAAAAGAAGGAAACTGTAACATTACTAAAGGTGCCCTTAAATTATAGATCTCTTTAATTAACCATTGATCTCTTGGAGGAGGAAAGATAATATTTCCTTGCTATAATCATGGAGTATTGATCAGAAGTAGTATTTTTGGGGTTTCAGCTAATGGGTGCTGGTTTTGTTGATACCTTTGGATCCTTGTCATGACATATGGTCATGTACCAAAGGAAAAGCCAAATTAGTCCATCACCAGGCGAAAAAAAAAAAAGAGGTTTTTAGCTTTTATATGCCAATTAGATTCAGACAAATTATGGAATCAGTAATATGATGGAAGTTTGAGGCACTCTACTGGTGTTTGAATTTGCCTTGGTACTTCAGGGAAAACTACACCTTGAGTGAAACAATCTCGTATTTATGATCCTGAGTTAGGTTTTGACACTTTCATTAAAGGATAATTTTACTGGCCTTTATCCTTGGACTCTTTTTTGCTACCACTACTATTAACAATTAATATTTGTTGTACATATAACTAGGCTAGGAATAGTCAAGAGACACTCATGTTATTCTGTCAATATTAGGGAATTTATAATTGCTTGTAGTGGTCTTAGTAACATTACAGATATATGGGAGATATGGTAGTGCTTTGGTGAGTTTGCTTGATGCTAAAGTTATGGTGGTTAAGGAGATCTTAGATGACATTTTAGAAGTGGAGCGTTATTCTTTCACCTTTTCTTTTTATTGGTATCTTAGAACTTTGTGTTGGATTTGTAAAGATCAACAATCCTTAAAACTTAAATGAATCCTCATTCTTTTCAACACAAATTTCTCTTAATTTCTAAACCTTGACTCTTATTCTCACATTCTTTTTGTTCATTAACTCAACTGGATTCAGCCTTAATGCTGATTTTGTTCAGGACTAACTACGTGGGGCTGTCCTTTCATGTAGTTTAAGTACGTACTTTATTGAGTTTTTGTTGTCAAATCCTTCTTGACCATTTTATTGATGTTGGTTTCTCCTACTATCTTTTGCACTCATCATTTGTCAATATTTAAATTGGTAATTCTAGCAATGATTGTTGGAGAATAATCTCAAATTGCCTTTTTCTTGAACTTATTTTCAATGTGAGCCACTTCTATCTTTCTAAAAACTCATTCTTTATTTATTTTAGATTTTTGAACAATGCATCACATTCTTTAAACAAAGCATCACATTCTTTAATAACAGGCATGCTTTCATGTTCCATTTTTATTAGGGTAACAACACGATGCATGTTCATCACTATATGTATATGCATACCATAGCTAAACCATGTAAGCGATTTCGATTCTATCCACAAAGAATATATATGATTTCTCTTAAATCTCCTATTTAGTTTGTGACTTTATGAGGTTGTTAAGCTGTCACTTTGGTTCCTTCCTGCTCCTTTCAACTTGTTTTCATTACAGTTCTGTAGAAAAATCTCATAATTTATGTTTTATATCTGTCATTACGCAGAGGAGGAAGAGGTGGTGGTTACAAAGAACTTGATGAAGAAGAAATAGAAGAAACTAGGCGACGCCGAAAGGAAGCTGAAGAAGTAAGATTTACTCATACTGTCATATCTTTGGAATAACTTGCCATTGCCTGTATTACAGACTTTACAATCCAATATCAGGATGATGGTGAGCTCTATGATGAGTTTGGCAATCTGAAGAAAAAGTTCCGTGTCAAGACCCAACAAGCTGAATCTGGAAGGGTTCTTCCAGGTGCTGGTCGTGCGGGATGGGAAGTTGAGGAATTAGGTTTGTGAGCGTTTCTTTAAGCTGTATTCATTTGTTCTGTAATTTTATGTACACATGCGCGCGCACACACACACACACACACACACACACACACACACACACACACACACACGAGAAAAGTAAATTACACAGACACATATGGTACTCCACTACCTCTTGTTGATTAATTTTTATGTTTTGTTACATTAGAATGAAAAATCATCTATATCAAGAATCAAAACTAAATACATTAATCAGATTTACCATCAACCGGATTATTGGTGTGTGGTAGGGTCTCTATGTATTGGGTATATGATCCATTGGGAAATTCTCTTATTTCATCTGAACCTAATGGATTAGGAATTTGAAAATCCTAATTTGTTATGAATTACTGCATGTTCAATCCATTATCCAATCTTACAGGTTTCATTATGGACTGTCTATTTTAATAATTTTAAAATTGAAAATACATCCAATTTTGCAAAGTAAAACTTTTCAAATAATGAAATTAATATATCTAATTTTTAAAATAACTTAACTTCTCTCACTAAAATAAATAAATTTTCTCAAATAATAATAAATATGACTGAAAACATATAGGAACAGCAGAATGTATATAAAATTTAACAATTAATTCAAACTTTTATTCTTTTAAGTTCGTTTGTATAAAATAATTATATAATTATATATGTGATTTTGAATTAAGTATATTGATTTTTTAAACTTGAAATTCAAATTTGATCTGAAAATTTTTTAAGTTTGATTTAAAACCAATTTGACTTGATCAATTGACCTTTTCTAGGAACTCTTTTTTGGAGTCAGGTTTTCAGTACCCATAATGTGTCTTATCAATCATAAAACTAACTTGTCTGAAAGAGTGGTGGTATTTCCATCTGAATACTTAGGGTTCTTCTAGAATATGTCCATCCTAGGTTTCGAATTTCAATTATCGCCAGTGTTGTGAATTGTGTTATATCTAATCTTTATGGACAATGAAACATACTGTCAATCCTTTAAATTTCTGTCAATCCTTTAAATAAAGTTTATTATGTTACGGGAGGTGTTTAATTACTCGTACAACACTAGAACATCTTAGCAATTTACGAATTTGCTTTTGAGATCTTGTGTTTCTGATCAGAGCAGATCAATGAAGTGACATGATCAGCTGACCTGCTTTTATACCTGTTTCCAGTTGCTGTACAAAGGGTAAAAGTACTGAGAAAAGGTAGTAGGTTAGAGACAAAGGATAGGGATGGTTGTGAGCTTTTGTCCTGGTTTTCGTGAAGTAGATAAGAGAAGCCAAATGGGTAGAATAAAGATAGCAGAGTCCTTTAGAGCTTGGTAATCAGTGTTGGGGTTTCTGATTGTCTGAATGGAATTCCTCTAAGTATATATGAGACCGATGGATTCCCTTTGATTTGTATAGTTTGTTTTGCGAGGAACAACAATCTGTGGTTTTTTTTTTTTTAAATGTTTTTTTCAGTCAGAAATTAGGTTATTTGCTTATTAGTTAATAAAGGGCATCCTAGGGCGTGCTAACAATAACAATGACAACAGGAAAAAAAAAAAAAAAAAACTAAACTAAACTTCATTGTTATGGAGGGGAAAAGGCAGAGGTTACCTCTCAATCTTTGCAATTGAAATATTAGGATTTGACCAGCACTATTGGTATATTCAAAGTGAAGTGACATGTAGCATATGGTAATAGCAATGGTTTAGCTAGGATGATGTATAGTGGCACCGAAGTCTACTTCAAATTACAGAATAAGAAGAAAAACAATAAAAAGTACTCGAGTACTTGAACAGAAGTCCATGATAAAATTCTTTGCTGTCAATGAAGTCTATTCCTGTGGACATAGAGAAAGGGGGTGTTGGTTAGGATAGATAGATAATGCAGAATTTTAGATTCCAACACCATTATAGACATTTATTAAGAATATCATGGGAAGATTCTCATTCTTTTTGAGAAGGTGTATTTTAAGTATATAACATTTTTATACTGGCAGAGAACCAAGAGCTTAGGAAAAGTTTAAAGATTTAGGAACTCGAATTATGTCAAATTTTGCCCAGCCTTATTTGCACCATCATCTAGTACTTTCTGGTTGTTACATGTGTATTATTCTAGTGAATTTGCTGCCAGTACATCATCTTACCGCTTTTTGTGGAAATTATTGATAATACATAAGAAGGCTTATTAAACATACGCAGATATAACCATAGCTATCTATATATATACATCTCTTCTTTTACGGGAGTTCTTTTTTGGACAGTGCATGTCATACTCTACCAAAATTTTTCTATTCAATGTAGTTTAAGGAGTTATATAGAATTCACAATCAACCACAAGCAAGAACATAAAGGGGGTTAATCATTCTATTGATCACTTAGCTTTGCACTAATTTTCACTGTGGTCACAACACAAAGTTTCAGTGTTGTCATTAAAGTTCAAATTTCTTACTGGAGTATTCAGCTATTTTTGGCAAGACTCTGGAAAGAATCCAACTGGAAATTTAACATGACATTCAAGTTAGAGTATTATTAAAAATAAATGAGGTGTAGAGCAAAAGTCAAATTGAAGGAACCTTGCTTTCTCTTTACATTATTTAAATAACTCCTGAAATGACGCCATTAAAATAGGAAGAATAATTTGCTTTTACCTTCATTTATTGAATTTTACTGAGCTAACTTAAAATTTTTCATCATAATACTTCTGCAGCTGGTTTTGGTGTTAATTTTTCCTGGAGACTGATGAATTTCTCTAATTTAAAATTTTCTGCATAGCTAATGAAATGTTTCAGTTTACTAAAATAAAATCATTGACCCTGAGGTTACTTTGGAGTGAAGAACTGTGTCCTTTAATGTTGTTTGAAACTTTGGAGATTACTCCTAAACAAGATTTTAAGGACCAATTTGAGCTTTTTCCTTGTTAATTTTTCATGATTAGGCCTTTCTTACAAATTCTGCAGCTTAGGAGTTGAGTAGTTTCCTACGGGGAATGCTTTTACTTGTAAAAAAATGGAAGCGCCTGTTAGTTTAGTGCGTGTTTTAGCATGTGAAATGAAGATGAAATTGCTCATTTTATTAACCTTTCGTGCAAGTAAATTGCATCAACATGAATTGTTTGAGCTCACGAGCTTGTCCTGTTGATTGACTATCATGTTGCATCTGGAATTTTGTTGTTTCTGTGCTGATCCTAATAGTACAAGGAGTTGCTTTACAAATCCATATTTGATTTCTCTTACTTCAATAGTGATTGACATAAGGATTTGGCAAAGTGATTCATTCATTTGCTTTTCTGAAAATTTATTTTGTGCACCAATTCGTGTTTTCAACCAAGTTAAAAAGCTGTGAGCTTGTTTAAGCTTGACATTTTGCACTGACACGAGCTTATCGTTTATTTGAATTAGAGGAGCACTTGAAAGAGTTATTCGAGATGGTTGCCTGTTGGAGCAGGTGGTTTTCTATGTATGATAATGAAAATGGTATTTTTGCAGGTGTGGCTGACAGAGATGCAAGGGAGAGAAGCAGGGATGGCGGGAGGGAGCGGGATGATAGGGAAAGCAGCAAGAACAGAGAATATAATGCTAGGGATAGGCACAGAAGTAGAAGTAGAGAGCGGGATAGGGGAAAAGATAGAGACAGGGAGTATGACTATGACCGAGACAGAGATTATGGCCGTGACAGAGACCGAGATAGGGACAGAGATAGAGATAGGTACCGTTATTGAGGACTTCTGCAAGAATTTCTGGCTTTGTTTGGCGTTCCACTTCATATGGAAGTGGTTGTTTTGGCATTATTCCTGGTGGAAAGGATGTCTTCTTGATCTTAAAAGTTTTGGCATAGTTGGCATTTTTGTGGTCTAAAAAACTGGAAGCTTATGCTGCAAAGCAACTTTAATGGAGTTATTTATTATGTGCATTTAGGACTTGTCAATAGATTGTTATGGCACAGTGGACCCTTATTGAACAATGTTGTTATGTTCATCTCATTTGAAATACTTTGTTTAAACTTGAAATACTTGGTTATAGCATGATCTTAACTAATGCACCCACGGTAGAGGAGGCTGCTTACCTTGCCTCAAGATTTGCTAGAACAGAATGGGTAATCTTATTATAACCATCTTGATTAAAAAAAAATACAAAAGTATAAAGGTTAAGAAAAGTGACCGGACGGAGTCAAATGAATTGAGCAAATGTTTTTACTTGTTAAAAGAAATGATTGTTTGGATAATTAGTATGTTAAAAGGTTTGAACGCCTTTATATAAGGTTTTCAATTTTTGCCCTCAAAGCCTTGTAACGCAATTTTCAATTCGGAGAAGGGGCAGAAAGGAAAAAAGGTCTGAAGTTTGGATTAAATGTTAAATTTAAAGTTTCTGTTTTTGTTTCAAGATTACGCAGAGCATCGGTTATTGAAATCGGTTCCGTTTAGGATGCAACTTCACGAATTTCACAAAATCCATGAAATGTGAAATCTTAGGGGTTTTACACTATGAATTTCATTTTATTTATGTAAGAAGACCAAAATAACACTATAGACTAATATGAGTAATTTTCTCTTGACTCGCTAAATTAGTAAAAATTGCTGTAATCGAGAGAATTCGAATTCGAAATTTTTCACTCTCCATCTTACATAAATGAGAAGATTAAACTAAACTTATAGATAGAGTTTCAAATTTTATTGTGAGGATAAAAAATAAAATTCATATTATTTAAAAAGAAATTTTTCGATAGAATTAAATAATTTTAAATTTTATTATTAATAAAAATATTTATGTGATTTAAACTTATATTAACACTAAATCATTTAGGTACAATATTCTTTAAATAATTAAACTCACAGTTGAAATTACTTGCACTATAAATGAAACGACCCCGCAAATTTTTTCAAAAAATGTCACTTAAAATTTAAATATTAATTTTAACCAATGATATTAAAAAAACATTATTATATTTAAAAATAAATTAATTACTACCCCATGAATTTATTTAGCAAAATTTAATACAAAAAAATTTCTATATAGCTAAACCAAACTAAAAAACTAAATTAAACTAATTGAAAACCAAGTAAAACCCCTGATTTGGACCGAATCAAACTCAATTTGAACACAACCACCCACTGAACAAGTAGAACTCTCTAGAAAACCCAAATTCACCATTTTACCCTAAACCCATCTCCGCCTTCTTCCCGATTGTGCACAACCCACTTCCCCCACCATTTTCTTTTTTCTGATCACTGCCTGGTCCGACCAACATCGCCTCCTCCTGTCGCCGTCACCTCACTGTCGTTTTCCCTTCCCTGTTTTCGTTTCTGGCGAGCGCAGTAATCACAAGTGAAGCTGCGATTTTCTTTTCAATTGGCACAGTTGTGACTCCAGCCTCTCTTTTCGTCTTTCCGGCGACGCTAACCCTTAACTGGCGGACGTGATCCTTTCCTCTCCTTAGCAGCATCTCCGGTCACCGCTCTCCGTTATCTCCGGCCGGCCAGCCAGTCATAGTGCGACAATGAGAGAGATTGAAGGGGGTTTTTCCGATCAGGAAAACTCTTTCTTTCTATATTCTTTTGACATCTCTGGTGAGACCAGCCAAGAACCGGCCGGTTGCATCCTTCCATCGTCTCTAGTAGCTTCACCGGCCACTGTCCTCATCAGTTCCGGCCAAGCTAGCGCCGGCAGAATCGGATTTTGTTCATGACAACTAATGCCGGTCATTTTAACCGGAAAGTTTCAATTTCTAGCGAGTATTACCATTGGATCATCTGAGTTCCTCTACCACTCCTGCAAGTCAAACTCCAAATAAACGCTTTTTTTTTTTTCTTTCTTTCACTGTGATTGATAATAAACAGTCGATATCATTACTTGCATATATATATATATATTATTTACTTTATAAAGAAATAAATGATAACTTAGCATTTATTTTTATATTACTATGTTATTATTATGATTATATTTATTTACATCATAATTATATTTTTATGTTTGCATATTAATTATTGATTTGGAGCATTATTTCGAATGAATTGTTCGATTATTTGTATTGTGATATTTCTGTGCCTTATTTGTACTTATATGGAATTTTATATGGAATTGGGATGAAGTGAATCACAAGGACAGTTTGTGATATTGTTAACCATGTATGGATAGATCGACACCTCGTCTGCATCTATATATAAATGATATGAAAAAAATCACCGGATGACCTCTTATTGGTAATGGAAAAGAAAAGAGAGAATGTAAAAACAATGAGAGAAATGGTCAAGTGAGGATTTAATTGGTCGGCCACGTATGAGGAATCGGGTTCTTGGTGACGCCACTGATTAATTTTCACTTGTTTGATTATGTGAATGTATAATTATTTGTGGATGCTGATGTTGTGCCATATACTTGATTGATTTTGTGTTCATTTTAGTATCTTAGGAAGTATTTCAGGTGAATCTTTGTATCATGCATTATTTATTATTATTTACTGAGTTGTAAAAACTCATTTTTCATTTGTTTAATCTTTTGGGGAAGTAGATTCTTCATTGTTCGATTAGAGCTGTGCATTCTTCTTCGCAGGGCTATAAAATTTATTTTTAATTTTGTAGATATTTGAGTTATGTAACTTATATATAGGCCTAATATATAATTTCACCCATGAATTTTGTTAATGTAATCTTGTGGTACCTTTTTACTTTGACCAATCAAATACTTCAACTTATAAAATCATATCTATTAAACACTTTAATTTTCAAATTTATTTTGTTCAGTACTTCAACTTGCAAATTTAGATTAATTAAATACTCATTAAAAAGTTAAATTTTATGAAAATTATTGTTTAAAAAGTCACACTAACTACATGTCAAGTCGATATTTTTCAGATAAAAGTCAAAATCCCTAAAAATTATTGATATTAGTATTGAAATGTGTGTAATATAATCAAAATTTACAAATTCAGGTGCACAATAGGTCATCCGCAAAATTTAGAGTGTCATAAGGTTAAAGTCGCAAAGTTTAGGGGTGAATTTATGTATTTAAACTTTATATATATAGACTCTTTTATACCTACTTATTGTTAAACTCCATAGTTGTAGGGCTTACATTATTCTAAATATGTATTATTAAGAGCATGTTAACCGATGATGACCTTAAGGATATTTTAAATATTTAATTAAGTTCATGTATAAACCAGTTAGCTCATATTATGAATGATGTGTATTATAATTAGGCTCGAATTATACATTACTTGAGATGTTGAAATTGAGTCAGGAATAATGTGATTGTTAAATTTATATATATGAAATAATATGGGCTTACTGTTTCTAGATATCCGTTTGGTATGATTGAACTATGTGATTTAGACTTATTACGAGCCGTTGGGGCTTTAAATTTACTTGAACCCTATACTGGTCTTGCCTACAATTTCGAGTCCTGACAATAAATGAACCTAATTATGTCCAAGTTGCCTCGTACATAATATCTATGTATTACTCAGTCATTAGAATGATTTATTCCCTCACTTCCATATTATATACAACTAATCTACTAACTATTTTGATACCATAACACATGGAGGATCATGATACGTAAGAGAACATAGGCAAGCGAGCAACATTGGACAGGATGCTTTGTCCTATGCCTATATTTCTTCTTCACACACCCAACTAACCCATTAACCGAAAATATTACCTTCCACCCTTTTTTCCATCCTCCATCTCTATTTAGGCTTCCTTTTATTTCAGTGTCATTTCTTATTTCTACATGTATATACATATCTAACATCCACCGATGTAAACATGAAAAAAAAAAATTTAATATATTAATTTGATTTTATATTTTTACCGATTATCTTTGTGGCCCCTAAATTTTGCGAGATTCAATCATGACACTACACTATCACATTTCAATAATAACAGACAAAATATCTTTGCAGGAATCAATCATGACCTATACTTTCACATTTCATTTTAGCGAGGGACATTATTACTGAAATATAAAAGTAGAGGGTCATACAATGGATTCCCTGCAAAATTTAAGGGTTACAAGAATAATCGTTGAAAGCACATAGTTAACTTTATGCACGAGGCCAAACAAAAAATCTCCTTTCCTCATACATACACACTTTTTCTATTTTCCAAATGGGTAAAAAAAATAGTTATAAGCAATTCTCAAAAGTTTGATTAACTGAAAAACAGACCAAAGTTACAATCATACACAATTGGAACACATTCATGAATCTATATATAATCATAATATCTTGGTAAAATATTTGAAAAAAAAAAGAAGAATTATATAAGTTGTGTATCAAATTCCAATCCATTCAACAGAGTCTAGGTAATGTTCTGGAATGGGAAGGTGCAATAATGACATTTCTCTTAACCAACCATGACATCTGACCTTTCATCTCTCTGCAAGCCTTTTCCAACTCACCCACTCTTCTTTGCATCTTCTGTATGTTAATTTTCATATCTTCATTGTCCTTATTCATATTATAATCATCTTCTTCAAGTTGACACTTTTGGGATTTGAGTGCTTCAACTGCAATGTTTGGAGGGATTCTTGGATTCTTGGCCAAGTCTTTACATGCCTCAAGGCTCAGCTTCTCATAGTTGAGACATCCACATATTCTTGATCTTTCCTCAAATGGGAGTGTGGGGTGAGACTGTAATTTCCATGTTCAATAAATCCTCATTATTAAATATTGAACTAAAATAATAAAATCATCCCACATCATATGAAGGACCAGAATTGAATCTTGGCATTATTTGAAAATTATTATTTATCATTTCAAGTAATGACAATTTACTATTTTGTTGGTAGCAGACTAAGTTGCCATAATTTACGCGTGACTTTTTTTTTTTTTTTTTTTTACTATAATATAAAAAAATAAACATAAAAAATCATTAGGTAAAAACCATATTTGAAAAAAAAAAGAGAAAAGAAATTAAATAAATAAAGTTAGTAAGTAATAAAAATTCACGGCAAACTCCAGCATATCAAAGAACAGAAGTCTAAAGATAACATAAGAATTCTGGAAGAATGGGAAGAGAATAGCAATCTCAAATGAACAGATTTAATACAATTAAGACCAAAAAAAAAACCAAAAGAGCAATCTGACCTCATATCATAACTCATCTGAAAAGACTCTCCTATCCAACACACCCACTGCTAATAACTTTGCATAAACTTCTAGTATGCCTATAAATATTTCATATCCGCATTCATTGTCCTATATTACAATAATATATATCAAAATAAATAACTTAAAACAAAGAATGAGCACTATTTGGAGAATTATGAAGTGCTAATAAACATGCAAATAGATTAATAGGAGAGGATATCTTGGATTGCTATCGGCAACAAGCCATCTCTATACATAGCCTCAAAGAGAGCTAAACAACCCGCCAACAGCTTCTCACAAAAGATTGGAGAACAATCACACATATGTCTTAGGAATCTTACTAAGCAAAATGGGAAGTAGTGAAGAGGTGAGACTGTAAATTTCACAAATGAATTCAAAAATAAATAACACTAAAATATAATTAAAAATTAAATTGAAAACTAAATAAAATAAAATCATCCCCACAATACATAAATATGAAGCCAAGAAGGCAGACATAATAGAAATTAACTTGAGCAATTAATTAATGAAAATTATTAATTTATCATATTCAAGTAATAGAGAGCAATTTAACTATTATTGTATGGTGAGAGACTAAGTATGGACACATAATTATACGGGACGTGAACTTTTTTTTTTTATTTTTATTTGGTATTAATTACCAGGTGCCATTACAAAGTACTAGTAACTGAAGTCTGAATTAAATCGAATCCATTGGGTATCCAAGGGTCTCTGAGAGATGAATGTTTAAAGAGACTTCATATCTAAGAGTTAAACACACAAAACTTTTGATTAAAAATTTCTGGCCTTTTCCAATGCTCGCGCTTAAAGAATTAAATTGCGCCGAACTCCTAATATTGAAAAGCTAATGAATATAATTTCTTGTTTCTGCTCTCAACAGTTTAGGAGTCGCCTCTAAAAATAAATTATATCTCTCTTAATCTGCTTTATGTCTCTGTATGAAATTCATTTTATAAACTTGAAGATTAAAAATTAAAAAAAAAAGATATTAAAAGTTAATTAAATAAACACTACCCAAATTTTAATGGAATTAAAAAAACACATATTATAAAGCGAAAGACAAAATTAGAGAAAAGCAGAAAATTTAATTAGTCAAATAACACAATCAATACAAAATTTACCAAAAACAAAATTATGATTAATTATTAATAAAAACCCAAAACCGAACTTACATAGTAAAAAAAGAAAACCAGTAAATGGGCAAACAGAAAAAGAAAAAATATAGATAATGCAGAGGAAAAAAATGGTAGTCGAGAACAATAAATAAAGCCTACAACAAAAAACAAAAAAAAAACTGAAAGATACAATAAATCAAAAAATAAGGAATTTGATACACAACACACATACAAAAGCAGTACTCATAGGACAGACCAAATCATGGATAAGAAAAAAAAACATCATCAACATAACTCCAAAAAGAAAATTAATTGTGAACATCATTAAAGAAGATATATGAATGCAGAAAGTAAATATTATACACACCTAAAATATATAAAAGACCAAAAACCCAATCAAAAATACAATCTTCGAACAATTATCATTAACATCACTTATTCAAAGAAAACCAATTATACAAGCCATATAAGCAAAATAAAAATATCCATTATTAAAGCCTTAAACAAAAATATAAACATAATAAAACAATCGCTACATCATAAAAAACACATGATCGAGGAACCAAAAATACAATTTTTTTTTTTTTTTTTTGTTAAATTACCCGCCATTCAAAGTCTACTGGTCTGATTAATCCGAATTTGTATCCAACGGGTCTCTTGAGGATGAATGTTTAAAGAGACTTCATATCTAGAGTTTAAACTAAAACTTTTGATTAAAAATTTCTGCCTTTTCATCTCGTCCTTAAAGAATTAAATTGCGCCGAACTCTAATTATATGAAAACTAATGATATAATTTCTTGTTCTGCTACTAACAGTAGGAGTCCCTCTAAAAATAAATTATTATCTCTCTTAATCTCTTTATGTCTTGTATGAAATTCATTTTATAAACTTAAAATTAAAAGTTTAAAGTTAATTTATACTAAATTTTATGGAATTCATTTATACGAAGCAAATTGAGACAAATTTATATTGTCCTTCATCATCAAAATTTAAAACAATTGTTATAAAACATCCGAAACTTCATGTAAAAAGAGTAAATGCAAACAGGAAAAATAGATAATGAGGAAAAATGGTGTCCAATAATACTAACCTGAAGATACATATCAATGGCTTTGTACACCCCATCAAAGCAGTCTCTAGCAGAATCTGGTAAGCTCTCCATAACTCCAAGAAATTTGGACATCTTAAGGTTATGATCAGGTGATATTTCCCCTAAATATTGATCAATCAATCTTCCAACTTTCTTCATCCTTTCAAAAGAAACCATTTCACCATTAACAAATATTCTTATTAACCTTAAAACCAAATTAACATCATAAACACCTCTCTCATGATGCCCAGATATAAGCAAATCATCTAATGTTGCTTCATCAAGAAAATTTCCTATCAGTCTCTCTAATTTTCCTCTGCAATCTTTGCTCATTCCAAACCCAGACAAATTCCTTAGTATCAAGAACAGCCCTCTGCAAGAAAATGCACTTCTTCCCACTAAACTCACTCCATAAACTGCTGTTTCTGCTAGACCACCATACTCATGGCCACCAGACCTCATTCCGCCTCTATTTTTCAGATAATGGAGGATGAACTTTGTCAAGGTTAAGCTATTGTTATCACTCCCATATGCTCCTAAATTCTTTATCAACTTCTCGACAATGGATGGAGACAATGAGGATAAATCATCAAACCACCATTTTTTTCCTGAAGAGAAAGATGGCTTATGTTTCGATTCTGGTGTTGTTTTTGCTGAAGAGGAGAGTCTGAAGGCAGTTTCCGGCGAAGATGATGATGAAGAAGAAGAAGCAAGAAGATTAATATCTGAGTTTTGAGCAATCTTAGCTGATAAACCGCATATTAGTTCTTGGATAAGTCCATATGAGTCTGCAGAACTGAAAAATGACTCGCATGTTTTTAGACTGGCAATTGTATCCTTCCATGACCAGTAAAATATTCCTTCAAGAAAAATCTCTGTTTGTTTCAAGAGATTCTTCTTCTTATTATTATTGTTGTTGTTGCAGTTTGAGACTAATTTCTCATCAGTCATTTCAAGAAAGATTGCACAACAATGGAGAAGACAGACATTTGAAACTGTGATTTCAATTCTGCCATTGTTGTAACAGAATCTTGAAACCAATTCAAACCCATCTGATCCTCCTGGAAAGTCTTCGATTTCGATAACTGAACTGTTTTTTCTCTTTTCTTTTTTGATCATCTTCTTCAACTTTCCAGAATATACTGATACAATTTTCTGCAGAATCCAATCATCAGTAATAATCAATTTTATTAATTGTAAACCTTTATAATAATAACAATGGAGATTAATTGATTACCTCATGTAGAAAGAAAGTTTCTTCGCCATTAACAAGGATTGAAAGATTACAGAGCTTTGACATTGCTGAATTTCATTGAATAGGAACAAGAAATGTATTATTATGTATTACAATGGACAAACATACATACAGAGGATATTAATGTACGAATATTAATCCTAAAGCATAAGGGTTGTATATAATGCAGCCAAGAAGCATTATATTGACAAAACGTATAGTATAATATATTCCAATAATTTCTCTATCACTGTCTAGTCTACTATTTGTGTTCTGTTGTGTTTTCCTTTTTCTTTTTCTTTTTTGTTTTTTTGTTTTTAAAAAAGAAAATTGGAAACTTTTTGAGAGGAACATAATAAATTTTTTAATCAAATTATATATCATTATCTATTTTAATCATTTTGTCATTTAATTACTATAACTGCTAAATAAGAATTAAACTGCTATTTAATTTTTACATATATAATATATTATGAAGTGACCTCTTGACATTGAATATAAAGCAAAAAAATTGTAGTTAAATTATTAGTGGGTTCAATAGTAAAAATATCTAAACATAAATGAAATATAAAAAATACTTAATTTTCTTATTTTTTAGAAAATAATTTATTAAAAATTGCTTTAAAAATAACTTTAACTAAAGATTTTGGTTTCGAGTCTTGAGTATGAAAACCGTTGGGTTAGGAGAGTTACCTTTTATATGAATATAAATTAAAAAGTGAATACACTAAAATGGTTTTAGAGCTAAGAGATATTTGAATTTCAATAGAAATTAAAATAATAAAAATAAAATAAAGAAGACCTATGGATTTCCAAAAGCAGTTTTTCTAAACAGTGGATTTATCTCTGAAATAAAACAAACAGATACAAATAGTTTTGTCATCAAACTGCAACTTGTTAAACAACTTTAGCAGGTTTAATATTTAATTCTATTTTCATGCTTTCAAGTAGATTAGAGTATTATAAAAGGAGCAAAACAACCGATCCACGGATGGATTGTATAAAAAATAAATTATCTGAATACATTTTTTGACCTGAGGATGAAAATAAGCGTCGAGAAAAACAAAAATTTATTTATTTTTCCAAACAATTTCATTGAGAGATTTAATATGTTAAACTAACGCTGCGGGTTACACAATATGACAGCGCTTTTCTTAACTCACAAAATAGATGCAGAAAACTCGAACTCGAAACAAAAAATTTGTTTTATGTGAGCAATAATATAGTTTTTATTTTCAGAAGTTTCCAAAAGACAAGCAAGATGTTGGTACACCGAATGAGAAGGATAATGGGGAGGTTTGTCATTTGTATTTTGTAGGAGACAGACACTGCAAGTCAAGAGAGGCTTTATTGTCATTATATTATATTATATATTTTTGTAGGAGACAGAGCACTGGCAAGTCAAAGAGAAGGCTTCTATTCGTCATTATATTAATATTATATAATATATTTATTTATATATTAGTATATTCACTATATATAGTAATATTCACTCGCTTGTCATCCATACATGCTATGCTACATATGTTAGCTTTGTAATTACAAAGGACATGTGAAGATTGGACCCCACCTAGGAATGGAACTAATCAACTCGTGAATAACAAATAGACAATATCTAATTGTCCTGTAACTATGCTTGAGCTGTTTTAAATTAGAGAATCATAACACAAGTTACGAATAGATTTATTTGTATTTATTTTGGATATTTTATCTCAATTTGACATTTTATTTTTAAAATTATTCCACAATCCATAAAAACCATGTGTGGATCTTATACAAATAACTACAACGAAAAACATATAAAAAATATCGATCATTTGCTTAATAAAAATTAAAAAATCTTTAATTTAGACTGTTTGATTTGAATTTTAGTTCTCTTTGAAAAAAAAAACTCATCATATGAGAATGGAGAAAGTAGAAATATAGATAATTTTAATACTTCAAAATTTCCTTATTTTTTGTTCTTCCCACTTTAAAGAGGTATTTATAGGAACACTATATGAAACATATGGATTACTTTTCAACTTTTAAATACATAAAACATATTAAATTCTAAAAATTTGGATTGGTTTGTTTGATGTCCCTCAATAAAGTTAGCCTCCTACTATAAGAATGACCTTACCAGCCATTCGATTTAAATTTGGAATATATATTTGATCTTTATGTGATGGAGGTTGGTTACAGTATTGAGGTGGCAAAGAATTTTGGGCTAGGGATTGTTGAGAAGCTAGAATTGATAAAAGGAGAAGAAAGATTGATTGGAGTAGCTAAGAAGTAGCTTTGAGAAGGGATGAATTTACTAAACTCTAGTTGATAATGTTGAGATCTATTGTTTATAGAATTTGTTTGATAGAAATAGACAATAATCGAAAGCGTACTTTGATCCATAACAGCAGATTTATGTTATGGGTTACCTCGTTGTGGCAATTCGATTCTCACCGTAACAGCAGATTTATGTTTCTTCCTCTGGCCTTTTGTCCGTAAGTTTTCTCTCAATGATCAGAGAATAATCAACAACTACGAGAGTTTCTTTTATGAGTTCTCTCAAATAAGCTATCACCGTATGTGTTTCAGGCAGCCGTCACACTCTCTATTTTGTTTTCTTTTCTGTGTTCACCCTAAGCTGTCGACTCCTTTTACTTTTACAAGGCAGAAGAAGGGTATTAAAACCCTAATGTTTGTTTTTTTCTTTTCTGTGTTCGCCCTAAGCTGTCGATTCCTTTTACTTTTATAAGGCAGAGGAAGGGTATTAAAACCATAACTGGCTCTTATCCATTAAGCCCAATAACCATTTTCTTGACACCTTAATTAGAACCAGCCCTTTAATCATATGAGCCATATATAGATTATTAAATAATCTAACAATCTCCCAGTTGGCCCATGTGCATTTCTTGAATCTATCATGTTTACCTTAATTGGAATTAAGATGATCAGATTATGGCGATCACAAGTCATTAATCAACATGATTCCTTCCATATATCACAGACCACTTCAATTTATAAAACTTTAATGAAGAAATTATTCAACAAACAATACATTATTACAATCAAATGTTATTGTTATCTCACTCAAACTATTATTGTATACATCTATAATGTAGACAACACATAAATAAGCAAAAACACATCTTTAATTGAATTCCCAAGTGTCACAATAATATGAGGAAAACAACCATATGTATATATATATACAAGTTTAAACATCATGATTGTATATATATAATATAATATATATATATATATATAATATATATACAAGTCTGAACATCATGCTAACAAGGACTTATCTATAATGCCCATTCTATCAACATGGCCAGTGAAGATTTTGGGCGGTAAGCCTTTACTTAGCGGATCCGCTATTATCAGATTAGTACCGATATGCTCAATTACACTTTGTGTTTTTGCACTTCTTCTTTCACAGATAGGTACTTTAAATCCATGTGCTTTGCACCCTTATAGTACCTATCATTCTTAGAGAAGAAGACAGCTATGAAATTATCACAGTAAATTCTCAAGGTCTAGCTATACTGTCGACAATGCCTAGACCTGAGACAGTTCTGCAACCACAATGAATGAACAGTGGCCTCAAAGCATGCCACAAATTTAGCCTCCATTGTGGAAGTAACAATGACAGACTGCTTTCTACTTTTCCACGATACTGCTCTTCCAGCTAGAAGAAAAAAGTAGCCAAATGTAGACTTTCTCGAATCTACACATCCGGCATAGTCTGAATCCGAGTATCCCACCACTTCTAGATGGCTGGACTTTCTATAAGTGACTATATGATCCTTAGTGCCTTGTAAATACCTAAGTACTTTCTTTGCAACTTTCCAATGATCCATCCCGGGATTACTTTGATATCGCCCTAACATTCCTATGGCTTTGATATCGCCCTAATATTCGCTACGGCGAAACTAATATCCGGTCGAGTCAATGTCTAAACATACCATTAAGCTAACAACACTGACGCATATGGAATAGACTCCATCTCTTTAACGTTCCAAATCATTTTTAGGACATTGCATTTCGCTGAACCTAATCTCCTTTGGGCTGAATTGGAAACTATTCCTGGGAGCATTTTTCCATTCTGAATCTCTCTAATACCTTATCAATGTAAGCTCTTTGAGACCAATCCTAACAGTCCTTGGTGATTTATGCACGGAATATTTCTATTCATCACAATGGATGCCCTTCCCATTCTTTTCATTTCAAAGTTCTTTACGAATGAAAACCCTTTACATCATGCCAGACACCCAACAATCATTCGCAGCAAGAAGAATGTCATCAACATATAGCGACTAAACATTATGAGCTGCTCCCACTGACCTTCCAATACAAAACACAACCGATCACCAGTGTTTTCTATAAAAACCATTATGGTGATTGGTATTATTGAACTTAAGATACCATTGACGGGAAGCCTTGCTTCAGTCCATATATTGAACTTCTTTAACTTACAACACCAAAAGTTTTCCTCACCAAATTTTCCTTTCCTGTGACCACAAATCCCTCTGGTTGGTCCATATATACTTCCTCCTCTAAGTCACCATTAAGAAAGGTTGTCTTTACATCCATTTTGTGAAGCTCTAGATCATAATGAGCCACCAAAGCCAAAATAATTCTTAAAGAGTCCTTTTTAGAAACTGGAGAAAATGTCTCTTTATAATCAATGCCATCCTTCTGAGTGTAACCTTTAGCAACAAGTCTGGCCATATATCTTTCAATGTTGCCCTTAGAGTCCCGTTTGGTCTTAAAAACCCATTTACAACCAACTTGTTTTGACCCCTCAAGCAATTCAACTAAATCCCAGACTTGATTATCACCCATTGATTGCATTTCTTCCTTCATGGCATTAAACCACTTTTAAGAATGATCACATTCTATGGCTTTCTGGAAAGAGACTGGATTCTTATCAATGCTCAATTCACATTCATGCTCAAGTGAGTAAATCACATAATCACTAGAAATAGTTGGCCTTCTGCGCCCTTCTTTGCCTTTGTGACCTCTGTTATGCTATTTCTTGTGAAACGCATTGATCATTCGTGAATTGTTGTCATTATTTGGCTGGTTCATCTATTTATATGGTCATTTTGTGGGTTGGAACGTTGTTTTGTTGTTTCAAACCATGTTGTTAAAAACCGTGATTAGCAACAAGTGGAAACAACAGCCGAAGAAAGAGAACAATTAAGAAAATCCATATGAGGTTAGATTTCCAATTTGATCTCATTGCACATTCACTTACCGTGGTTCAACTGCTCCCCACTAATTTGGCCATTTTCAATAAACTGAGCATTACCAACTCACAAATTCTCGTACTATGGTTAGACAATAAAAATCTGTAACCCTTTTTGACTTTTTCCAGGATATCCCTATGAAAAATCCACTACTGTTTCTAGCATCAAGCTTCTTTTCATGTGGATATATATCCTTACTTCTGCTGGCAACCATAAAGATGCCTTAAACTAGGTTTCCTTCCTATCCACAGTTCATAAGGGGTCTTAGGAACTGCCTTACGAGGAACCCTATTAAGTAAATATGCATCAATCTTTAATGTATGCATCCATAACAATAAAGGTACAATACTATTACTTAACATACTCCTAACCATTTCCATAAGAGTAGGATTTCGTCTTTCAGCTACACCATGCTGTTGAGATATACCCGGCATTGTGTATTGCGCATAAATACCATGACTTTCAAGGAACTTTACGTACCTGGCATTGTGTATTGCGCACAAATGCCATGACTTTCAAGGAACTTTGCAAATGGACATAGACATTGTCCATTTTCATTAAATTTGCCATAATATTCACCACTTTAACTTTTCTATTTAACTGTCTTGCTACCTCATTAATGAATATCTCAAGGATATCCACTGATTGAGTCTTTTCATGCAGTAAATATACATAACCGTACCGTGAGAAATCATCGATAAAAGGTAATAAAATATTTTTCACCACCCAAAGAGGGAACATCAAAAGGGCCACATATATCAGTGTGTATAAGTTCAATCAATTCACTGTTTCTTGTGGCTGGATTCTTTAATGTGTGCTTAGTTTGCTTACCTTTAATGCAATTTATACACACGTCCCAGTCAGTGAAATCCAATTTGAGGTAAGAATTCCACCTTTCAATAACACTCAAATTCTTTCTTTTGGATATGTGAACCTAACCTTTGTGCAACAAGAAAGCAGAACATTTCATTATGTGCACTACGATTTAATACCTATATTGTGTTTCAACATTAAACAGGGATTCAATAAATCAGCACAGAACATTCATTATGTGCACTACGTTTAATACCTATATTGTGTTCAACATTAAACAGGGATTCAATAAATTCAGCATCAAGATTAAAACGATACAAATCATCTGAGAAAAGAAAACAAGTTTTAGTTTAGGGCAGCCTAGGCCTAGTAAGATATTATTCGCTTTGGTTAAACCCACTTAGGCCCGTATGGTTTTATTTTTGGGCTATTGAGTTGGTTCTAGCCTAAGAACAAAACCCTACGGGCCTAAGTGAATTCGGTCCAAAGCGGACAATATCTTGCTAGGCCTGGGCTGCCACAGACTTGGTATCTAAGCCAAGCCTTATCCTTCTGGCTGGTGGTGGGGCAAATCTCAGCAAGGATGCTAAGTCCCTAATGGGGGGTGAAGTGTAACAGGAACAAAATTGTGCGGGCGTGAATAGGTTTTGTCAAAGCGGACAATATCTTGCTAGGCATGTGATGCCACAGACTTGGTATCAGATCCAAGCCTTGTCCCTCTAGTTGGTGGTGGGGAAAACCTTAGCGAGGATGCCGAGTCCCTAAGGGAGGGTCAAGTGTAACATCCGCATCCGATGAGGTGCTAGCTTGAGATGTTAGCTTAACTTAGGCGAATCCCACATCGGATACCATGTAAATGCTTGAAGGTTTACTACCATCAATGAATCGTTGAAGCTTTTGGTAGTTAAGTAATGGTGTAAACTGCATTTTCCATGCAAGGTAGTTTTTGGTATTCAACTTAATGGAAAAAGCATGATGGGTAGAAGTAGATAATGAAGAAAGACAGGAAATAACACCTGGAGAAGACATAGTTAAAGAATTAAGAAAAGAACAGAAGGCTCTGATACCATGTAAATGCTTTGAAATAGCTTTGCATGTTGTATTACTGACATATGAATTACAGAGCATATTTATATAGGAAATACAAACTATAACTGCTATAATTTGGGTACATTTGAACTTGAAAAATTTGAATATGGAATAATCAGATTGTGAATCTCTACAAATCTGCAACATAAATATTGTTATCCTAGCAGCTCCTACTACCTCTAAATAGAAAAGACCCTATTGTTGGCTTGACTGGTGTGGGGAAAATACAAGATAATGTGGTACAATCAAGTCGCACAACTAATCCCCTTTTCTCTTTGAAAGGAGGAGAAGCGTATGATGAGTATAAGAAGATAGTAGAGAATTATGAAGTTATGGATATAACAACAAAACCATGAAGTGTTATGGCAAATTGATTGACATAGACTCTCTTATTCTCTTTCTTAAGCTTGACTCCATCAAAAGTTTAAAATGCCCGTGGATAAATTTAATAGGAAGACCCACCCTAAAACTCATTATGTGTAAGTGCTATTAACCCAGTAGGGGATATAATGACCTCGTTAATCAATTGTTTCAACAATCTCTCACCGAAGCTACACTTAGATGGTTCAATTGGACTTGAGGAATCTTAAAAAAGAACTTGGGAGATGTCATCTTTGCTTTTAACGAGCAATATTGCTAGAACAATGAAGTATATTACAAGGAGAGAATCAAAAACTATCAAGCAAGGCCCCAAAGAGTCCTCCACATTCCTTACAAGGTCAAAGTCCAAGGCTTCTCAAATGATAAACTGAACATGTGGACTTAATTGTTAAGAATATTCTTTCCATCTGTCAAATTTTCTCTAGATTAAAATTTTCCCTAATTTCAATGCTTTTATTACTACTGCCACTAAGATAGAAGACCTCATCTAGATAAGATCAAGTAGGGATGATTCTTCTTTAAAATATAAAAAAGTAACAATAATTCTTTCTTCACTAATAAGAAATGTGTAGAAGTTTCTACTATCAGTACCCATAAACCTATGAGACTGGAAAGATCTTTTGGAAAAGAGAAATTTTATTGATGCGATATTTCCTTAACTTTGGTGTACAAAAAAGTTTCATAGGCTGGCTTGAGAACCCTCTAGACCCTAAAATGTACTCAAATCCTCCTTCTCCAGGCTATAAGACTTCAGAATATTGTGACTTCCATCAAGGGACTAGGCACAAGGCTAACATATAACGATTTGATCCTTATGTATTCAAAAATTATTTGTAAAATGTTAACCTCCAAAATATGAGAATAAAAAATTTTGGGAATTGAGTTTTTATGTAACTACTTAAATTTTCACACCTCTCAAGTTAAAATTATCAAAACACAACCTCACCATTCTAATATTTCAGTATTTTTCTATTAGATTCCTTTTTTTTTTTTTTTCTTTTCAATTATACTTTAGTTTAAAAAACTCAGCTTCAATTTTAAGTATGTTTTTTCATGTTGATTAGACAAATAAAAGGTTAAATTTTGAATTTAAGAATAAATGTCAGTTTGACCCTGAACTTGTTTAGAGGGATTAAAAATGTCATATTTAACATTTTCGGCTAATTTAACCTCTGGATTCATTTAGATGGATTAAAGAGGTCACATTTGATCTTCTGAACCATTTAACCAATAAACTTATTTAGAATGATTAAATTCAATTCGTGATTCTTCATTATACTCGCAATGTGGAAATCTTTGTATAGATATTTATTAAAATTATAATTAAAGTCAAGCGGTATCATTTGTTAAAAAAAATTAAATATGAAATTGAGAAAAATGGCACATGAAGTATATTATAGTGCTTTTTACCTTAACCGATGATTTTGAATTCATAAATATAACATTTTAAAATGAACATTTATTATTGGATTTATTGCATACGAAATCCATGCATTTCTCGTGTTCAACATATTAAAATTACATAACATGTTGTTGTAAATTTAATATGTATTGAAAGAAACGATGTCTTTATGGATTTTGAACTTCTTTCAAAAGTATTGGAACAGTTTGATTTGGATGTTTTTAGTAATGTTTTTTAAATTAGAATTGATAGCAGGTTTCAGTAGGACCGCGTCAACTTAGTTCAACTGAATTATTTATTTATTTTTTATAATTTTTGGACATTTATTTGTTATAAAATATTTTAAAAGAAAAAGTTAATGGATTTGAAGGTACTGAGGTTTTTAAAGAAAAAAAAAAAAGTAATGTGTTCCAAAATTTAAACCCACAATGTTTAACATAGTTCGTTCGCACCTTAACTACTTTATCCATTTAGTTTATAATAAAAATTTAATTTTTTTTGTTTAAATTAAAGTTGCCCATTTTGCAGTAGAAAACTAAATCACATTCGATTGAATTTAACTGGTATGACCAAGGTCCAATTCAATTTTCAAAACATTCGTTTCTAATGCAAAAATAAGAAGGAATAAAAGTCAATAATTGAATCAATTTATTGTTTACAAAATGAAAATAGATTTAGGGGCTAAATTAGCTAAAAAAAAAAAAGTCAAATTCGACCTTTTAATCTCTATAAAAATTTACGGGATAAATTAATCTAAAAGGTTAAATCTGACTTTTAATCCTTCAATTTACTGTACTGGATTGTCCTTTTTCTTTAAAAAAAAAAAAATAATAAAACTGCAACTTTCATGAACTTAAATCATTAATGAAAAAATCCATAATGAAAGGAGGGACAAGACCCCACTCCTTCAAATCGGACAAAGAGTAGACATGAGTTGCAAGAAGATGTGCAATCCAATTTGCTGATTTACGAATAAAAGAGACAGAACCTAAAGGAATTTCTTTTAACAAAGCTTTACAGTCCATAATTAAACAACCAAAATAGGATAAGATCATTTCGACCACGGTATATAGTTTGGACAAGTAACTGAGAATCAGATTCAAATTCGGTAACCATTTCTTTTGGCCCAACGTAAGGCCTCACGAAATGATAGTGCCTCAGCAACTGAAGCATCAAAACCCCCACTAACTGACAAGCATTCAACATGGTGCCCCTTTCATCCCTTAAGACCCAACAAAATATTTGATTTATTGTACTGCATTGTCTATTTAATGTTTGAATCTTAATGAAGTTAATTAAACTCATTAACTCTAAATATTTGATTTTGTAATTAATTTGACAAATAGTAATTGATGAAATTCATAAAGTTAAAAATCAAATTAATTACTCCAAAGGACGATTTAGTCTTTTATACTTTTAATTAATACGAAAATAACAATTTCACTAACTTTTGATCAGAAAAATATAATTGAGAGTAAACTTGAAATTTGGTGACAAGAAAAATAAAGAATAAAAGAGTTCAAAAAAATTGACCACTAGGCTAGTCTTCGGTAATGGTGACTGTCTGCTTCGTTTCCAATGCGTATTAGTTCTCAAGTGTAGGAGGTGATTTTAGTTGTGGAAATAGTATAGGCTAGTAATAGTTTTAGTTGCAGTTATGCTCCTGCCCTTAAGAGTTCTTGCTTCAAGTTAACTTGCCTTGCTAATGCTAGCTTACCTTCTATTATTACTGTCCAGAGCGGGGAAGAAGCACTACTGAAGGTCATCACTGTGAAAAACCGTCTTATCGATCTTTCTTTTTGTCTAAAAGGCCTCTAGAAAGCCCTGACTATAGCTAGGGCAGGACCCGACCAGTTGGCCGATAACTTAGTCCATTGCTGCGGGATGTGGACAATGACAAAGCAAAGTAGGATAGGATCCCGATTGCTCTGTCACTGCATCCAACTACTTCTCCCTAGCTAGAGTGAGAAACCATACCTTGCCACATGGAACTAGGTTTGACAATCTCATTCTTATCCCGACATCCAGCCCTAGTGAGTGAGTAAAGCAAGCTATACCTGATACCGATCAAGAAAACTGGCCGGGAACAAGATGCCCTTTTCTGCAATTAGAGAAGGAATGTAACTGGCTTGCTTTTTCATTAAAAGAGACTCATTCCCTTCTTTGGCTTATTCATATTATGCCTTATTGAGAGCTCTCCGTCGCTAGAATATGAAAGACTGCTTGACCATTCATTTACATTCAATATTACCCGCTTTCTTCAAGCCCTATCTCTTATCTTTCTTAGCCGCCCGCCCTATGAACACCATATTCTGCAAACCCAACTCTTACCTAATATCCAACTACATGGAAGCACTTTTGATACAATGACAACAATAATAACCATAACGGATACAATTAATCAGTAGTAATAACCATAAAAATAATAATGACAACAATTAATCAATAAATACATAACTGATACAATGAATTAGCTTTACACAAACTAGAAACTTGGACGTTTCTGCTACAGAAATGAAAATGGAAGGCCATAAAAAACAAAAAGGGTATCTTAAAATTTTGATACATTGAAAGAATACAACAAAAAGCAACTCACTTGCAGAGGCATTTACACAACAGTTTATTTGTCGGGTGTTAAAAAAAATTACCCTCCTTTTTGTTAAAATAATCTGGGGAAAGAATAAGAACCAATTGGCAATTAACTTACAGAAGCAGCAAAAGAGGTCATCTGGATGAGACTTCATCCTCTGTAAGATCACCTTTCTGTCAAAAATAAAGCCTCCAAATAACCATCGACATAAGCTAAGCATGGCCAATGATCAGTCCTAATTCGAACCAACGTTGATAGATCAGAGACTTCCATTTGGAAAAGAAGATGGAACCTTGGTGGAAGAAATATCAACACGAGAAAGCAACCCATGATTCTTTTGTAGCCATTTACCTGAGTTTCTCTATCATATTCATCATTGAAGTATGTCAGATGAAGTGGACCCTTATTGAACTCGGTAGTAACTAAGGCAGTGCTATCGACCAAAGAATCTGATGCAGCAGCTTTCCATACAATGTCTTTGATGATTCCCCTATCCTTCACCATGTTCACAAGCTGTTCTCCGATCACACAAACCACAAAGGGTGTCAAATACTTCTCAATGGCACAAATCAGAGAGTCTGCAGGAACCTCAAGAAGCTTGACAGATCGGGTACCATTGATTGCTGCAGCACCTTTCCCTCCTTTTAATGGGAACGTCTCACGTCCAATGTTGGTGGAAGCACCGCATGCCTCCCAAAGAGCATCAAATAATCCTGAATAATATGCTGACATGGCATCTTCTGAGATGTCAGACGGGACAATAGCCTTGTGAAACATGTCTTCTATACCTACTGTGATACTTTGAAGCTGACCACGGATTATCTGGCCATTTTCCACATTTGTTTCAATGAAAACATCAACCAAACCAGGAGTAGGTTCCCGTGGTTCTAGATCAACTGTAACGCGAGCTTTATAGTTTTCCTCTTCTTCAAAATAATTTTCCACAGGAACAATGTCTAGTGAAACTTCTGGGCTGGAGATGTGATCTTTCTTGGTGGCTTCACCAAGAAGGAAAGGTATGTGATATGGTGGGATGGACCCATATGGTGCTGATGATGAAAATTTTAGCACAGTTGCATATAAAGCAGGAAGCGCATCTATTCCATCTAACCGACTGGTTGGAGAGCTATTCCCGCATAACTGATTGAAAGAGTCAGATTCAAACTTCAAACTGCAGGATATGCTAACCTTGAGCCCTGTCATGTGCCTAAAATCAGGAATACACGAGAAGTGCCTCCTTAATACGCCTAAGATCTGTGAAACCTTTGAATCCATTACACGTAATGGCTCCTGTAATGGAGTAGTTCTTTCATTTCTTGAGGTTGCTAGAAAATTAGTACCAACTTCTAGCTCCCTTAAATCAACCTGTGGTTCACTATCCATAATGCTTTCCAGATAACTAGGTTTACTGGAACTAATATCCAAAGGCGACAAGGACAGTGACCAGGATTGCTTAACAAGCAAAGGCAACATACGCTCCAGATGAATGCAGGATGAGATGCTCCTAGATTTCTTGAAATTCTGATGATGTCGAGGAGATAGAACATTGAAGAAAGAGCTTGAATTTGTAGATGGTGAAATTCCAAGGAATTGCTCCCCAAAGTTTAGTATGCCTTTAAGCTTCATTCCGGGTATACAGATTAGCATCCGCATGTAGATCCTATGCATTACCACAGTTAGTGAAGAAAGTGAGAAGCAACAGCTACTAACAAGTATAAAAGGAAAGGAACTAAATGCACACATAAAAGAGGGAAAAAAATGCTGAAGGGCATTTCTTTAAGTCACCTGGCATTGTCTCGAACCTCCAAATCAGGGAAGTAAAGACAAGTAAATGCAAGAAGGTGAGATAACCCAAGGAACAATCTAGAGCTATGGTGGTGCATCAGCATAGTTCGGCAAATGCCAAGGACTTTACTTCCCTGCGACCATGACTTCAGCCCTGTATTGGGCCCGTGTTTCTTAACAAGGAAAACCATAAACTTGGTAAGTAGGTCTACCAATCTCTGAGGAGGTATTGCCTCATTTTCGGCTATTCTGTCAAATATTGGGAAGTAAGAAACCAATTTATAATCTATTTTGACTTTTAGAAGCAAATACTCATCAAGCATCTGAAGCAGGCGTTCTCCCAACCACCGATGCTTTTCGCAGCCTAATAAACGCTCAATGAAAGAAATGACAACAGGAACCAGCCTTACAAAATCCAATGTCATCCCCACCAACATCCCCTGGACAAGTGAAACTGGGAGCATCAATGATATAGAAGTACAATTGGGAACATCAGCATTATTTGCTTCATGTCTAGCCACTCAAAAAGTATAGAAGACAAAAAATAAATAAAAAAGAAAAGGTTTCTTGAAGCCAAGTAATTTACAGGTGGAACTCAAACAAAGACACTAGCATACATCCAGCCACAAAATAAAAGAGATTAGGGATGGGGAAATAGAAAAATAAATAAAATTTGATATATGTCAAAATTGTCATAAATTAAAATGGCAAGGACTAGGTCACAAGAAGAAAGAATGTCTTTAAATCAATCTAGTTGATCCACCTGTGATTCAGGCCCAGTTTGTTAGACGTAAAACACCAAGACCTGATATGAACTCCATGAGTCAAAAAAATAGTTTTGATGGTCTGATATTATTTATTTAGAAGGCACATGCAGCAAAACAAACTTCCAACTCTTTCTCTTTCCCCCACACTTTTCAAGCTTGGATTCTTTTCTGCCTGCCAGTTCTCTCTGACTAAGCCGATACTTTCAGTTGTCTTTTTGCACGGTATATTCTATTTCTCATGCTATATAATGGGTGATATCAACACCTCTCTCCCTCTAGCTTAGTACAATATTGAAATGATCTATATGAATGAATAAATAAATAAAACAAACTATAGGATAAATATTAGGAAGTAATTTTTATAATAATACAACAGCAATAGCCACATACAGAATCCTATGGAGAATAGGTGAAAAATATCCTTATAGAAAAGCCTCTCTAAGAAAGAAAAACAAGGATCTGAACTTTACATTGTATTTTGAAAGAAAACCTGAAAATTTAGGTAAAAATCCAAGATTACTTTGCAATATTCTACGTTCCATGAGGGGACATCCAATTAGTAAGAAACAAATAACTGGAAGAGGCCAATATTAATGATAATCTTATTATTGCTTGCAAGAGTTTTCCTAATGGAGTACACATGTATTACATGTGAAATGAAAGAGCTAGGACATAAACATGTTATTACTCAATCGAACTGACGATTAGTCTCACAGTTTGCTAAATGGGTCCATTCCAACCTATTTTGGGACTAAACTTCGTAAGAGCTTTTCTGAAAAACTAAAAGAATTTCACCTCAATTTATGAACAAATTACAAATCATAACCGTAATTGCCTAATGGAACCTTCAGCCTTGAAAGCATATCTTTTAAAAAAAATGCACATTTGACCAAATTCTTCAGTCAAAATTGCTTCTAGTCACAAAAAACAAACTGCTCAAAGAATGCCAAGTATTTTACTTCTTTTTGTGACTGAAAATTTAAAATTTAAAATTCAACAGCAGAACCAAAACAACTAATGCTACAAAATGCCAACATTTTGCTACAGAAAATATGTAGAGGATTGACCCCAACCAGGCATTATCAAGTATTGAATAAATAGCACACTTCACGATGCAAGAGCTAAACTAGGAATTTCAGCATGTTCAAAAGTTACCATTCATGTTATTGTGGCACATGATTATTCAAAGTAGTGTAAATTTTCAAATTAGGGTTATTTTTATATTTCAATTAAGTTGAATTTTGTGTCGAATAGTCAAGTTTTTTTCTATTAGGATTTAAAGTTAAGATCTTATTCTCAAGGGATTGTATGCTTATAAATAAAGCTGTAATGCTTAGATTTAAAGTAACTTTCAGATATTTGAGAAATAATAAAAATCAGTTCAAGACATTTGCCTTTCCTGGTTGCATAACCAGAAGTTCAAGCCTATTTTAGTTTTGGCCTTTTTATCCTCTCTTTCAATGTTCTGCTGTCAAATATGACCTAATTTAGAATTAGATCCTATTTTGCTATGTCAAATCATGGTAGAATATTACTGAAACTGTTCCAGAATGGAAAACCTCAAGTCATATAGAAATACTCATCGGTTCTGTACTTCAAAGGCAGCATTATGATCCACTAGAGCTTTACAATTCTTAACAAACAGCGAGGTGAATTAAGAGACAAGGGAAAAATAGAAAAGAATAAATGTGTGGACATCAAAATATGTAGACACTTTTTCCTCCCCAACTTTTAAGATTTCAATGTCCTCAACATTACATAATCAGAACAAATTCTCCTTCCAAACTAGCCTCAGGCAAAAACTGTATGTTTCAAAAATATTACTATTTTGACTTTGGAATGCTCAAAGCCAAAATTAGTACGAACTGTTAAGAGGAAGACAATTCCCTGGATGATTTATAAGGTACCTTTTTATTTTAACTCGTTATTCACAACAACACTATCACCTGACATATTTGCAGTTGTGGAATCTCATATAATCTGTGTTTTCGAAGGTGACACACATATCCAACTTATAAATTATTGTTTTAATCTATAAAAATTGTACCAATACTTTGTCTAATAGCATCTCAATACTTCTTTAGACCAAAGTCCAAATGCTAAAGAGCTTTCGGTTACATAAAAGAAAGACAAGTCAAAACAAGAAATAGCTTTCTAATAAGCTTCTTAATCCCCCAATATCTATGTTCATAGTGAAAAGCAAATAAATGAGCAGAATAAAGCAATGCAGACCAATTAATTGTCAGCAGAAAAAAAATACCTGTAGAGTACGAAAGATTACAGAGTTCATGAGGGTTCTAGTAGTAGAAGAATCAGTGTCAGAATGAGATGAAGAACCTATCAAAAATTTATGGAAGGCACGGAATGCAACAGCAGTTTCAGTGCTCCAAGGAGGTAACCATTTGAAAGCTGAAACAGAAACTAGACCGTCTGCAAAAAGCTTGACAACAGAATTAGCAGCACTGCCCTCCTCACCAGAACCACCTTCTATTTTCAAACTATCAAGATATATGGAACAAAAAGCACGCAAATCAAGCTTCAATGCTTTCAAAGCAAGTGAATCAAACACAGCTGGATAGAATCTCAAACAAATATCAGCAACCGATTTATATTTCTTATCTTCTCCACTCAATATCAGTTTGCTTATAAAACCCAACAACCAATGAAGAGCTAGCAATCTGAAAACCAAATAATGTTGTGTTTCCTTAGAAATCAACATTAATCGCCTTACGATCTCTCCCTCTTGGCCATCAAACGTATCCAGAAAATGGGAGTACATGACTAAAACAATATGGCACAAAAATGGATCAAATGAATAAATCAACCCAAAAAACTGCACTTTCAACATGGAACCTTGCAGTTCCAAAGCCACAGCCAGTGGCATTATCATTTGCAAGAACTCCACCATACCACATGGGGTCAAAACCTGCCGCGTATCTAACAAAAACGCCAAAGCCCTTCTCAACTCTTTACCATTCACACCCGCAATCTCCTTACTGTTAAACATCCATTGAGGCAAATTAAATGGAACCAAAGGCACCGAAGTATTCAGAATAGAGACATTCAACTTACGATTAACAATATTATAGACAACCATAGTAAACAACAACATGTAAGACTGACAAGCATGAGTTCTCTCGCTTTGACACAAACTCCATAGATGGCCAGCAACACCCGAAAGCAGACAAGGATAGCACTTCTCTATCTCGCGTAGACACTCACAAGCGATAGCTCGTGTCTGTCGATCAAGGCCGTGGTTAGGACGATGAATAACAGTGAGAAGCAGCTCAACCAAACCCTCAGTGAACCGCGCGTGGAATTTATTGAGCGCGTCGATGGAAATGAAAATGGAAGTGGTAGAGACCATGAACTGCTCTTTGAAGAGAAAAGTAATAGCGATCCCATCGAGAGGAGCTTGAACAACAGCACGGAGAGCGTCGAGGAGACGGTCCAATTGGGATTCATCAGTGAAAAATGTATCGGAGAATTCTTCGAGGAAGATAAGGAGAGGGATTTTGAGAGGGAAGTCTTTTTTAAGGAGAGATGAGAGGGCGTGGTCGAGGAGAGAAGGGAGGGAGTGAGTGGCCGCCGTCCATTTGTGGAGGCGAGCACCGCCTTGCTGAAAGTCGTCGATTAGAGACTCCCAGTCTTGGGAAAAAAGCGGTGGCTTCAGTGGCGGTGGTTTATCTGTCATGGCTTGGGAATACAATTGCCGGAGGAATTGGGCATGTAAATAGTGAAGATCCGATCACCTAATGGTTTTTATCTGAAATTCAAAAGTACTTCAATTTCAATTTCAATTTTTATAAATATAAATTATGATTCCTTATTAAAGACATTAAAATTACTCGTCTGGGAGAAAAAAAAAAAAAGTGATTAACTATTTACTCCATTTCTATATAAAATTCACTCGTATATTTCTCGTAAAAATTTTAGAGAAGGCCACACTTTGTATAGGACGCTGTGCCCTTAAAATTAAAGATTCTGATAACACTATAAAGTTTTAATGTGGCCAAATATATTAATTGTCGCCTAAATTTTTATCAAAAAGCTCCGTGGCCCATTTTAAAAATTTAAAAATGATTTTGTAGAGAAAAAATTAATTCGTGAATTCCACATTAAGATAGAAAAATCAGTTATAGGTGGCAAGTTATTTAACACATTAGCTCTAATGTGTTTATTTTTTTTTAAAAAAAAAAAAAGAAAAAGAAAAACGGTGTTCTCTGCTCAACATCCCCTGGTTTCATCTCATCCTCATTTGCTTTTCTCTCTATCTATCATGCTTTTATTTAATTTATTTTATTAGTCATTTTTTAAATTATCCCATAAAATATAAAATCATATTTTTTTTCTTAATTTTTCTTGTTTCAGATTTTATATTTTTATTTATCCATATAGAAGATCATAGCATGTAGATGATTAACTTGATTCTCTTTATTTATTTATTTTTTTTTTTGGCAGGAACAGTATTAGATGGTTGCAACTTTTGCAGAAATCAACCCAGTGAGAAAGAAAGCAGAAACCCACAATCAAAACCTGCAGATTTATAACCCTTTCAGTTCTTTTCCAATACCCAAGAAATTTTTTTTTTTTTTAAAGAAAAAATTTGGAAAATTTGGTTTGCTATGAAGTTGAGTTGAAAAAACAATTTACCCATCTTCACGTTTCACATATGATCTTTAGCTTCATTTTGTTCTCTTTTGTTTAGGTCTGTAACTTTTTGTTTTAAATTGCTGAAGTTTTTAACTGGAAAAAGTTATACAATTAGAAAACCATTTTAATCTCCTCATTCTATAGTACGATGAAAAAAAAAAAATTGCTAACAAGGTTCATCTCAAGTAGAAGAAGATGAAGAAGAGAGAGAAATGAATATTAGTAAAGCTTAAAAAAAGTATTTTAATTAATTTAACATTAAAAATATAAATTTAAAAATGGGAGAGAGAATTTAAAGTTAAAAAGAAAAACTTAAAAAAAAAAAAATACCATGTTGGATACTTAAATACATTTTACTCTCTTTTCTAGCACGTGCATTTTCAATTAGTTTTCCAACATGACAAGGTGTGTAATTGACAAGGAGAGTGAAGTTTAAAGTATGTAATTGATGAAAAAAAATGAAATTTAAGGAGCTAAAAGATTAAATCTTAAGTATAGGGTGCTACCAGACTTTTTTATAAAAGTTCACGGGGCAATTTATATATTCGACCGTTTTTATACTAATAATATTCCCTCTTCTCTTTATATAAAGAAACTTTCCAATTTGTGTGTTTCTTTTATATAGAGAATTTTACTTTGAATAGAAACTTTGAAAAATGTCAGATGGAAAGTCTAAAATGCCCTTATATGAGCCATCTTATCCGTGTAAAAATTGTTCACTGAACGAGAAAGTGACAGGTAAAAAAAAGTAATGGCATTTATTAAAAAGTCTAAAATGCACTTATATGAGCCTTGTTATCAATAACTATTTTCTGAGGATTTTTAATAGTGTGCTCGACTTTATGAATGCAAGCACAAATATAAGTGACAGTTTGTGTAATTATCTATAATATGAATGCACAATTGGAAGGCTGCAACTTAGTTTTAAAAGACCTTTTTATATTGATATTACACCTTGTAAATGTGTTCACGAATTTTATTAACTCCAACTAACTTAATGTAATTTTGTAATTTAACTAAGCATTAATGAAAATTTTGTGCTTATGTTCTTAAATAAAACGTGAGCGATACAGACTTAAATTGACTTCACAGATATGCTAAATATGGCCGCAACTTTTTCAAACTACACGAATTTAGGTTATCTTGTTGCAACTTAGAAAAAAGCATGTTGCTTATAGAATTTTTTATATGATCAGGTATTCCTATTTTTGTGTTGTCTGCAATAACATTTTGAGATAGACTCATTTCAAGAACAACTATAACGCTTTGTTCTTCATCAAATAAAAAGTACAAATTTGGCAGTTGGAAAGTTGTGGCCATATCTTGAGAATGTGCGGACGAGTAGATTGAAATATCATTGAGATAAAATAAAAATGGTGGATTCATGATGTAACAATTATTGTTGCCCTCTTTCCACTGCCATTTTTTTTTGAAATGTCTATGAATGTAATTACATTTTCATCTACTTCAAATTTATATGTAAGCATATTGTAAAAGTTAAGGAGACAATGAGAGTAATAAAATTAAGGCTCTATATTTTCATTATATTTGTGTGAATATATTTGAAAAGCTCAAGAATGATGTAAATGGAAATTAAAAATTTCAAACGGAAAGTTATAATTTTGGAAAGTTTGAACTTTTAAGAGTTTAATGCATTAACTCACCTCTTCCCTCCATTTTTGACTGTAAATCTTGTAATTGATGCTTCATTGGGAGTCTCATTATATAAGTTAGTTCTCTCTCAACTAACAGACCAATTAATATTGTTTAGGTAAATGAGGCATAAAGTAGAAAAAATATTCAGTTAAACTGCCATCTTAATCCATGTGCAAAATCAGTTTTCTCCATACAAAGAGAATAGAGGGAGTAACATTTTTTTAGGATGTTTTGATTTAATATGCAAATTATTGATTTGAGATATGGATAGTATAATTTTAACTATCCAATAAATGTCAAATCGATCTAATTTTACAAGTTGATATTTGAAGTGTTTTTAGTGAGTGGCCTGAAACCATGCGGATTAAGGAGGCAATTAGAGTTCTTATAGTGCCTCTTTATATGTATATATAATCAACTAAGTCGATGGAAGGAAGATACTAGGCTATTCTCCAAGATTCTAGAGAGTTCTAGAAAGCATAAAACTAAGGAAGAAGCCTAGAAGCCTTTGGGACGTGCTAGCAAAACCTAGAGAGTGATAGAATGATCTGGGGAGATCTAGGGAGTTCTACTATAATCTAGGGCCATCTTGAGGGTTGGAGGATCATCTGGAGAATTCTAGAGAATTCTGGCACCTGTGGAGGCAAGGCAAGCTCGAAGGAAACCACTCTAGCATAATCTGGGTCTTACTAGAGAAGCCTAGTGTCACGGAGATAGGTTTTTAGCTTGCCTACCCGTGCGGCACTTAGTCGCCTTTGGGTGCTAGGACGAGCTAAGTAAGCCTTATAGTTGTGTTGGAGCAAAAACGAGAGTTAAATAGAGAAGAGAACACAAGAGAGCTTTTACAGACGTTACACATCCGTATATAAGAATAAGTGATCAACTCCTATACCCTATGGTATCAGCAAGTGTTATTAATTATTCCAGGCTTTATTTGTGTTTTGAAATATTTATATTAGTTATAAAATGACTAATGACCCTCACAGTGGACACCCGTTTTTATAATATAAGAAGATCAGGAAATAAAACTGCATTGGACCCAATCGAATATGATAAAAATTAAGCGAAAACGGCTATATTCCACTCACTTTTTACGGCACATAGGGTCAAAAAAGTGCACCTTAGTCTCACAAGTGATGGGCCGAAGAGGGCGACGGCGTATGACATAACTCGATGTGGGCTTAGTAGAGCAAGCCTGGCATGAAGTTGTGAAACTGCGTGAACCCTGAGACATCCCTTAATATGCTAAATAGTGATGGGGTGATTTTGATGCCTTATGTTCCGTCAGATTCCCGTAGGACTGGTCATATAGATATATGAGTGAGTCGTTAGGCAGACCGGGGTTTAATCTCTCTCTGAGTAAATTAATGTTATGATACCCTACCCTTATAAGTTATTAAATTTATATAGATTATAGAGGATACATAGCCTAGTCATTATTTAATTACCAATCATATAAATGAGGAGAGCGTTTTCCCCACTCTATTGTTAAGCGTTATCTGTATCCCTGGAATTGGCGTGGACATAATAAATCAAAGGATGAAGGAACTCTATAGACATAAACTAAACGCGCTTGTCATGATAAGAGAGAACGATAGATAAATGACCGATAGTAAGTTCACACGAGAGTGACAAAAGGACATTAGTCCATCGAGTGTCGATTTTAAAAGTAATTGTGAGATGGGGAGTTACGTTTGAATATATTCAAAGGGGTGTTCTTGTGGCAAAAAGCACACACAGGAGAAGTCCCCGCTGTGGATGAACAGAAAAATCCAGAAACAATGACTTATTTCCTTCATTATTTCCTTTCGCTATTCTGGTCCTGCACTAATTTTTAGTTACAAATGTGCGAGGTGAAATCACAATATGAGTTCCAAAATCAGACACATAACATAGCTAGAGACAGAACACTTACCTTATTACTTTTATATATAAGGTCTTTGATCAAACCCAGCTTTTGGCGCCAGTTAATAATCAAGCCTGTCGACAAAGAATCTTTAACTTTTCTCACTTGACTCGGACTAACAGCATGTTTTTCTCAATATCTAACAAGTTCCAAATGGCAAAATTAAGTGTGCAAACGGGAACAAGGAGAACTAGGCAAAAGTAATGATATAAAAAAAAAAAAAAAAAAAAACATAAAGCTCTCCCAAAGTGTGACTTCTAAAATTATTCGTGCGACGACACTTGTGGTAACCCATGTTTAATATTCTCTAGTCCTAGTATTTAAAATTTGTTGTCCTTTCCATTATGCACTTTCATTTTCGTGTGGTTCCGGTTAGAGTAAAGTAGGGGCTTTTTTAAGAAGAAGAAGACTGACCTATTCAATCTCCGCATACTGGTGTGTGAGGGTGCAAGAAGTTTCTTAATACCTGCGAGTTACAGAACCCAAATAATACATATAGTAATAGGATTTTCAATTTAATTAATTTAATTTATTTATTTAACTATTTAAATAAATAAATCATAATTA